TTGTTTGTTTATTTTAGACAGAGTCTCACTATGTCACTTTTGGTAAAGTGCCATGGTGTCGCAGCTCACAGCAACCTCAAACTCTTGGGCTTAAGTGATTCTCTTGCCTCAGCTTCCCAAGTAGCTGGGAATCCAGGCTCCCACCACAACACCTGTCTACTTTTTGTTGTAGTTGTCATTGTTGGTTAGCTGGCCCAGGCCAAGCTAGAACCCACCAGCCTGGGTGTATGTGGCCGGCACCCTTCCCACTGAGCTACCAACACCGCCTATTTATTTATTTATTCATTTAATACAGAGTGTCACTATGTCACCCTCGGTAGAGTGCTGAGGCATCACAGCTCACAGCAACCTCAAACCCTTGGGCTTAAGCAACTCTCTGGCCTCAGCTTCTCAAGTAGCGGGGAGTACAGGTGGCCACCACAACACCCGGCTATTTTTTGGTTGCAGTTGTCATTGTTGTTTAGCAGGCCTGGGCTGGGATCAAAGCCACCAGCCTCGGTGTATGTGGCGGGTGCCCTACTCACTGAGCTACAGGCACTGAACCTACACAATTTTTTTTTATTGTTGGGGAATCATTGAGGGTATGAAGAACTAGGTCCTACTGCACAATTTAACAAAGGAAAAAAAATCATTGCTCTCAGGCAGCCTCCATTCTAACAGAATGGAGAACAACAGGGAAAAAGCTCCTGGCAAGACAAATATGATAGAGATATTTTTAGGCTCAACCTCTCTGTACTATAGGTTACTCGAGAGTAAAAAAGATATAATGGTGCCTTTCTTATAGGGCTGTTGTGAAAATTAATGATGACTACTTTTAAAAACTTTGTCCTTTAGGCCCAGCACAATGCCTCACACTTGTTATCCCACCACTCTAGGAAGCCAAGGAAGGAGAATTGCGTGAACTTAAGAGTTGGAGACCATGGCTCGGTGCCTATAGCTCAGCAGCTAGGGCACTGGCCACAAACACTGGGGATGGCGGGTTAGAATCCAGCCCAGGCTAGACAATGGGAACTACAATGGCAACTACAACCAAAAAATAGCCAGATGCTGTGGCTGGCGCCTGTAGTCACAGCTATTTGGGAGGCTAAGGCAAGAGAATTGCTTAAGCCTAAGAGTTGGAGGTTGCTGTGAGCTGTGATGCCATAGCACTCTACCAAGGGCGACATAATAAGACTCTGTCTCAAAAAAGATGTCAATGCATCATATTACAAGTGACATTGACCTCATGCACTTGGGTAAGGTGGTGTCTTCCAGCTTTCTCCATCATAAAAGTTAACATTTTCCATTTGCAATTAATAAATAGCTTGAGAAAAATACTTTGATTCTGGCTTGGTGCCTGTAGCTCAAGCGGCTAGGGCACCAGCCACATACACTGGAGCTGGCAGGTTCGAATCCAACCCTTGCCCACCAAACAACAATGATAACTACAACAACAACAACAAAAATAGCCAGGCATTGTGGCGGGCGCCTGTAGTCCCAGCTACTTGGAAGGTTGAGGCAAGAGAATCACTTAAGACCAAGAGTTTGAGGTTGCTGTGAGCTGTGATGTCACAGCACTCTACCGAGGGCGGCAACTTAAGACTCTGTCTCAAAAAAAAAATTTTTGATTCTATACAAGTATCTTTTTTCTTTTTTTTTCCTCAAACTTTTTTTTTTTTTGTAGAGACAGAGTCTCACTTTTTCACCCTCAGTAGAGTGCAGCAGAGTTGCTCCAGCAACCTCCAACTCCTGGGCTTAGGCAATTCTTCTGCCTCAGCCTCCCAAGTAGCTGGGACTACAGGTGCCCGCCACAACGCCCGGCTATTTTTTGTTGCAGTTTGGCCGGGGCTGGGTTTGAACCCGCCACCCTCGGTATATGGGGCCGGCGCCCTACTCACTGAGTCACAGGCGCCTCCCTTTTTTCTCAAACTTTTGCCCACTAATTTTAGCCTCTATTGGTGGATTCTACCTTCAACAATTACTAGTGTGGCATTTCCCTGTTGGTTGTCTAAATTTTTTTCCTCATTGTGTTTGAATTTTAAAAATTGACAGGTAAAACTTGTATATATTTATCCTGTACACACATTGTTTTGGAAATACGTATACATTGTAGAATGGCCAGATTGAGCTAATTATCATACATAGGTATATGTATGACCTCACTGAGAACACTTAATATCTAGTCCTAGCAATTTTGAAGAATGCGTTGTTATTAACTATAGTCACCATGTTGTACAATAGATCTCTTGAACCCATTCCTTGTATCTAACTCAAATTTTGTATCCTTCAGCCAATGTCTCCCCAATCCTAGCCTCCCCAAGCTCCTGGTAACCACCATTCTACTCCCGACTGCTATGAATTTAACTTTGTTTTAGATTCCACATATGAGATCCTGTATTTCTGTGCCTGACTTAGTTTACTTAACATGATGTCTTCCAGGTTCATACATGTTGTTGCAAATGAGATTCCCTTCTTTTTAAAGGCAGAATAATATTTCATTATGTATATACACCACATTTTCCTTATTCATTACTTTTTTCATGATTTCTTATATATTTATTAATTGGAATTTTCCATCTGGAAGAGCTGTCCCTCATTTTTTCATTTACAGCAGAACCTCATAGTTGACTGCCTCCTCTACATTGACCATCTTGTTAAGTTGACCTAATTTTCAAAGACTGGACATGGTCCACCTATATGTATCAGTACAGTAGGCCCAGTTCCTTATGTTGACCACCTCTGTATGTGATCAGTTTGTTACCGTCCCTTGGGTGGTCAACTTACTGTATTTATGAATTAAATTATTTATTCACAGTTGTATGGACTCACAGTTATTTATTGTATTCTAAAGGTGAGACCCCATCTTTATAAAAACTAGAAAACTATCAGGGCAGCACCTGTGGCTCAGTGAGTAGGGCGCTAGCCCCATATACTGAGGGTGGCAGGTTCAAATCCGGCCCCAGCCAAACTGCAACAAAAAATAGCTGGACCTTGTGGCCAGCACCTGTTGTCCCAGCTACTTGGAAGGCTGAGACAAGAGAATCGCCTAAGCCCAGGAGTTGGAGGTTGCTGTGAGCTGTGACGCTGCAGCACTCTACCAAGGGTAATAAAGTGAAACTCTGTCTCTACAAAAAAAAAAAAAAAAAACTAGAAAATTATCATTTGTTTCTTACATTGTTCCAACTTCATCCATTGGGAGGTCGCTTAGGTTGGTTCTTATGTCCTTTTGTCATACCTTTACACAAACTTTTTTGAGCACTCTCCTATTTTCCGGCACCACAAGATATTCCAGTTTCATCTGGTATTTTCTCTGCTCCAGACAATCAACTATTCAACCTGGAATCAACTATTTCTCTAAGGAGTTTTGGCTCCTTCACCCAGGAAGTATGCAATATATTCATGCAGTGTAGGAGCTCTGGTTCCTTCTATTGGAATATGGTATTTAGAAACCAAAATCTGGGCCCTCTCAGTGGACTTGCCTAGAAAGTTTAAGTACATATTCTATCCAGTACACACACACACACACACACACACACACACACTTATCTTTATCTCTGTATTTAAATGATAATTACTTTTAAAGCAGTTAGAACAGTACTTGACACATAGTGAGTCCCTTAGAAATATTAGCTAATGTTGTTTTTTGTTTTTTGGGGTTGCAGTTGTCATTGTTGTTTGGTGGGCCCAGGCTGGATTTGAACCCGCCAGCTCAGGTATATGTGGCTGGCGCCTTAGCCACTTGAGCCACAGGCACTGAGCCAGCTAATGTTGTTATTGGACACAGGAGCCCAGATGTGTGAATGGACCAGAAAGAACTCTAGGTCTGTAATTGTCACCTAAGGGTATAAACCCTGGGGTGTGGATTAGGAGCAGTGAATCCACAAAAGGCAACTAAGGGTTTGCTGAATCAGCCTCTGCTCCCTTTGGGTCCTTGAAAGGTATAGAGGGAGCGGACATGTTTTGATATAATGCTCTTTGGAGTCAGGTCACTTAAGTTGATTCCTAACATGGAGCCTAGTTAGATTCTAATAAAATCATTCAAAACGCCAAAAGTTGGAGGAACAGACTATGCCTTTGGCCCTACTCCCTGCCAAGTTTCAAATTATAAGAGGCACCTCCAAACCCCAGTAACATTGGGCCAAGCATTGGTTTTCCTTCCCTTTAATCCCCATTTCTGCTGTCTATATGCTGTGGGGTCACTCTCTGTTGGCTTTCTCTGTGCTGACATGTGGGCACTGTAAAGTTTGACTAAGACCAACATCCCCAGCACTGCCATGATACTAACTGTACATCCCTGTTGAACAACCAGGCACATTATTTAAATGTTCTAAGCCTTAGTTGTCCCATTTGTGAAATGGGAACTCTTCTAATCCCTCCTTCATAAAGTTGTCATAAAGGTAAAACATCAGTCCACATAAAGCTACCTAGGCAGAATTCCTTCAGGTTCGGGGGAGTATGAATCTTATCTTCAAGATAAGGCAGTTCTAGTTTTGCCAAAGGGCTTTAGATAAGAGGGGAAGACCCCCTCTTGGGTCAGAAGGAATACCATCTTGTATATTGCTCATTAGGCTGTTCTAACCTCAGATAACACCTCTGGAGTAGCCCCTCAGAAGGGGAAGGTTGGCAGAAGCCCAGCCACGAGGCATCTGGGACTATTACCTGAGATGACCTATTCCAGATTTCTGGACTGGGGATATCTTGGGGAGAGGGAAGTATGGGGCACACTCAATTCTGGGATGCCCTTTGGACCCTGCTCTGAGGCCAGATGTGGGCAGAGTCTGCAGGGGCCAGGTGGCTCCATGACAGGCCCTTTTCACATGAGCAGGACTGAAGAACTGGGTCTGGGCCGAGGACATGGCCTTTGTTCCCACGGCTGTGCCTTGGAGCCCCAAGCACCAGATACAGAAGCTTCAGGTGACCCGGAAGCAGCTGCAGACCGAGGAGGAGGCAGCCTTCCCCCTGGGAGGGGCCACCCCTCGCTACCTGTACCTGGCCAGCAACCACAGCAACAAGTGGGGTCACCCACGGGGCTACCGCATCCAGGTGCTCAGCTTTGCCGGAGAACCAATGCCCCAGAACAGCTCCATGGAGAGAGCCCTCAGCTGGGGGAGGTAAGTGGGGACTGTCAGAGAGGGGATAAAGGAGACTGACTATGACAGAGGTTCTCAACCTTCCTAATGCCGCAGCCCTTTAATACAGTTCCTGTGGGTCTTGACCCACAGGTTGAGAACCACTGGACTATGAGAAGGGCCCCACATTGCTCTACCTCCTAGGATGCACATGCAAACACACACACACACACGCACACACACACACACCTCCTGTGGCTACAATCTTTAGCTGCCCAAAATGAAGGCTACTGGCTAGATAAAAAGCATTGAAGCCAATCTAGCCAATGGTAGAGTCTGGGTTATGGGTATAAAGGTGTTCACTATACAGTTCTTCCAACTTTTTTGTGTACTTGAAGTGTTCATGTTAAAGGTTGGAAGAAAAAACAAAAAGCAGACCAAGCTTGGACGCTCACACCTGTAATCCCAGCACTCTGGGAGTTCGAGGCAGGAGGCTCACTTGCAGTCAGGAGGTTGAGACCAACCTGAGAAACAAGTGAGACCCCATCTTTACAAAAACTAGCTGGGTTGGTTGTGCCTGTAGTCCCAGCTACTCAGGAGATGAGGTAGGAATATTATGTGAACCCAGAAGGCTGAGATTGCCCTCTAGCCTGGGCAACAGAGTAAGACTCAAGAAAGAAAAGAAGGCTCTGCGCCTGTAGCTCAAGTGGCTGAGGCACCAGCCACATACACCTAAGGTGGCAGGTTCAAATCCAGCCCGGGCTTGCCAAACAACAATGATGGCTGCAACCAAAGAAAATAGCCAGGCATCGTGGCAGGCGCCTGTGATCCTAGCTACCTGGGAGGTGGAGGCAGGAAACTTGCTTGAGCCCAGGAGGTTGGAGGTGGAGGTTGCTGTGAGCTGTGATGCCACAGCACTCTGCCCAGGGGGACAGCTTGAGGCTCTGTCTCAAAAAAAAAAAAAAAAAGAAAGAAAGAAAGAAAAGAAAAGGAGAGAAAAGAGGGCAGTGCCTATGGCTCAGTGGGTAGGGTGCGGGCCCCATATACCGAAGGTGGTGTGTTTGAACCTGGCCCTGGCCAAACTGCAACAAAAAATAGCGGGCATTAAGGGTCATAAAGTGAGACTCAGTCTCTAAAAAAAAGGAAAGAAAGAAAAGAAGAAGGAAGGGAAAGGAAAAGAAAAAAACAAAGAGCAAAGGAGGAACACAGATCTGAAAATCTGAGGGAGGATTCCCCAACTTTCAGGCATTTGAGGCATTGAACTTGACCTAGGATGGAAATCAGGTCTTGTCCATAAATATGGGTCCCCACAGGATCAGGCTCTGATCTGGACGGATGGATGAGCAATCTATACAATACTCCAGCTGACATCTAAGATACAGGATATTGGCTTGGTGCCTGTAGCTCAAGCAGCTAGGGCACCAACCACATACACTGGAGCTGGCGGGTTCGAATCCAGTCAGGGCCCGCCAAATAACAATGACAACTACAACCAAAAAATAGCCAGGTGTTGTGGTGGATGCCTATAGTCCCAGCTACTTGGGAGGCTGAGGCAAGAGAATTGCTTAAGCCCAAGAGTTTGAGGTTGCTGTGAGCTGTGACACCACAGCACTCTACCTAGGGCAACAGCTTGAGACTCTTGTCTCCAAAAAATAAATAAATAAGATACAGGATATTGAACAAATAGGGGAACCTCTACAGGGCATAGTGGAGAGATGGACAGAGAATGATAAAGAGGCTCAATATCCTGAGACCTTTGTATCCTCAATACACCTTCAGGCCCTGGGATAGTTGATGACCTTGTAGGTCTAACAAAATTTCCTGTAGGTATCAGCTGGCCGTGACCCAGCGGAAGGAGGAGGAACCCAGTAGCACCAGCATCTACAATTTGAATGACCCTTGGACACCCACTGTGGACTTCACTAACTTCATTGACAATGACACTATTGCAGGGCAGGTCAGTTGAACAGCCAGTGAGGGAGGAGGTAGGGTTGGGGGCAGAGGCCAGGGGACCAAGAATGAGAAGCTTCACTCTCTCCCAAGCCACATTGCTTGGGAGTCTTTGGAAACCACTAAGAAAGGAAACTACCATTCTCCATTTTTTTCCCGAGAAATTAAGAAAGTATACGCTGGTGAGCTGAGTCACTACCTCCAGGACCATCATGGGAAGCAGGTCATGTCCTCAGCAAAACCAGACCTCGTGATCCTCTTTCTTCTCCGCTGCTAGGACTTGGTGGCCTGGGTGACAGCTGGATTTCTGCACATCCCACATGCAGAGGACATTCCCAACACAGTGACTGTGGGCAACGGTGTGGGCTTCTTCCTCCGACCCTACAACTTCTTTGACGAGGACCCCTCCTTCTACTCTGCTGACTCCATCTACTTCCAAGGGGACCAGGATGCTGGGGCCTGTGAGGTCAACCCCCTGGCTTGCCTACCCCAGACTGCTGCCTGTGCCCCCAACCTCCCTGCCTTCTCCCATGGGGGCTTCTCTCACAGCTAGGTGGTCCCTGGGCTGGGGAATCTGCCCAAGGGCTCCAGGGTAGGCTAAGGGGGTGGGATCAACTGGGCACAGGGTGGGCAACCTGGTTACCTTTTCTTCTTCCTCCCACCACTGATGTCTGTTCATCTTCTGGTCCCCAAAAGTCCCCTCTCTTCCATTGCCCTCCCTCCCTTGCACCCTCCTTGGGACCAAAAGCATCCTGAGCCTGTGATGCCTGACGCTGGGGGACTCAGTTTGTTGCTCCCAGCTGTGTTGGGTCCCATCCCAGAGAGGCAAGGATGCCCCAGTCCAGGAGCCTGGGGTGATGACCAGGCTTTTCCCCAGATGACTCCCATTTTTTTCTACCAATTTATTTAAAAAATAAGACAAAGTTTATGTACCATAAAATGTACCTTTTAAAGTGTACACTCTAATGGTTTTAGTATACAGGTATTTACCAAGTTATGCAATCATTGCCATTAATTCCAGAACATTTTTATCATCCCAGAAAGAAACTCTGTATCTGCAATCACAACCCATTTCCCCCTAAACCCTCTGCAACTCCAGGCCTCTATGTTCTATCACAGTGGATATGCCTATATTTTGGATATTTCATATAAATAAATTCATACAACATGTGATCTTTTGTGATCAGTTTTTTGTTTTGTTTTGTTTTTTTAGCAGTTTTTGGCTAGGGCTGGGTTTGAACCTGCCACCTCCGGCATATGGGGCCAGCGCCTACTCCTCTGAGCCACAGGCGCTGCCCTGTGATCAGCTTTTTTAACTTAGTATAATGTTTTTGAAGTACATCCATGTTGTCATTTTACTTCTTTATGGCTAAACAATATCTCATTGTGTGGAGATGCCACATCTTGTTTATCCATTCATCAGTTGATAGACATTTGAGTTGTTTCCATTGGGGGGTTATTATGGATAAATACTGCTAGTTTTTGTATAGATATATGTTTTCACTTCTTGGGTATATGCCTAGGAGTGAAATTGCTGGCTTACATGGTAATTCTATATTTAACCCTTTGAGGAACTGCCAGTCCAAAGGGACTGTACTTTTTTTCTTTTTTATTGTTTAAAATATACATAACATAAGATTTGCCTTTTTAATCATTTTTGAGTGAAAATTCAGTGGCCTGAGGTACTTTCAGAAGCTCTTGTGGGCCTCCCCAGCTCTCCTCTTCCCTGGGGCCTCCAAGACTAGAATGTTTCCCCCAATCCCCCAGGCAGGGTCCCTGGGAGGCCCACATGTGTCAGCCTCAGGTCTTGGGCAGGTACTTTCTGCATCTGTTCCCTCTCATCCAGGCACTATCCTCTTCCTCCCAATCCTGCTGCTGCATCAGCATCTCCTGCCTGCTGTTTCCCTAAAGTGATGGGGGACATCTCTGCTGCCTCAGGTCTTACAGTCATCTCCCCTCAATCCCTCAGTTCTGGTGTCCTCTGTCCCTGGGCTGGGGAAGCCTTGCAACTGCAGGGACTGTGACAGCTGGATTTCTGTCTTATTTGAGAGGACAATCCTTGGTTATTTCCTGTGGGAGGGATATGCCTCTGGCCAGCTTTCTTTAGCTTATCTTTCTGCTTCTCCTTGTCTAAAAAAAAACCAGTTTTCCTGTCAGCTTATTATCTGCCCATGCTGCCCCATGATTTTCCTCTGAATTCCTACCATTTCCACAGGCTATGTGGGGGATGCCCTTGTGAGGAAGAGGGTGGTCAGGTGACAGCCTCAGCTTGGGGTCAGTGGGTGGAATGATAGAGTATCATCTGTTCCCAGGGCCATAGTGACAATGGCCCTGGGGACATGACTGCCTCTATTCCTCTGCCAGCAGCCAGTTAAGTGACTGGAATATCATTGAGGATAGGAACCAAAAAGCCTTAGGAGCTCAGGGAACCAGGCCAGGAACTGCCCAATCAGGCATGGGGACCCGGCTGACCTGGTGAGGCAACAGCCTCCAGGCAACCCCTTCTAGGCCATGAACTTTGGCTGGGTGTAAACAAGACTTGGATATTTTTCAGGAATGGCTCTGGGGTGGGAGTAAGGCAGGGAGGGCTGAAAGGCCTGGTCTTCTCAGGTACATCCAGGCCAGAGAAACTCATGTGGCCTCTGGTCCCTATCTTTGCATCTATAGCTTGCCTATTCCTGTTGGTGTCTGTTCTGAGGATCATGAGATCATGACGAGTGGGGAGGGTCCTCTCCCCAGCTGGAAGCCTAGGCTGCCCACCCAGCCCAAGGGGAGGGCACACTCATAGGGCAGGATCTGGCAGAAAGGAAGTCCAGGGCACAGATTTGGATCCAGCTCAGCTTGTGAGCAGAGGGACATCACAAACTCAGAGCTCAGGCCACATGGAATCTGGGGTTCTCTTGAGAACTGCCTAGATCCCCAGGTCAACCACATGGGTTGGAAAGGATCTAAGTTCTGGCAAAGGGAACTTTGTCCACAGACTAAAAGCCATGGGAACCATATTTTGGATTTGTGGGGAAGGCAGAGCTAGCGGCTGTTGCTCTCTCTTCTTTCCATCGCCTCACCTCAGTGATTTAGCTTTTCTTGACCCTCTCAGCCTAGATCAATACCTTGTTTTGACTTTCTTGCATTTTCTTGTTTAAAGAAATTTAGGCCCTGATGGCAGAAAATTTCTGTCTTGCCCCCAAAACAAAGCTGTGGGGAGCCGGGGCTGCTTTCTCAGCTGGTCACTTCTCTAGGTACAGAAAAGGGGAGAAGGTGGCCCCAGCCTGAGGTCGGGGGTTAACAGGGGACTGCAGCTGTGGCTCACCTGCCAACAGAGGTGTGTGCAATGGGGCTCCCCACTAGAGCCAGAAGGCACGGCTGGAGCAGCCCCAGGGTGTGTGTGTACCCCAAACTCTCAGGAAAAGACCCTGAGGCAGCATATTGAAAAGCTCTTCTGGGATGTGTCCTTCTAGCTTCAAGAACGAAGCAACCAGACACCAAGAAATGCAGCCCAGAAAGGCACAAAGGCCGAGAAGCACCAAGTTCTGGGGTGAATCTGGCAAACTCCCTGGGGATACCTCAGGTTCCTGATTACCCTGCCACGGATTGGCCCAGGCTGCTGGCGGAGCCTGCCCCATTCCCACCCTAACACGTGGCCCATGGCTGATAGGCCACCATGTCTGCTCCCCTCAGGCTCTGCAGGCATGGACTACAGCTTCTGTAGCTTCCCTCCTCTCCACACTTGGGCCCTGTGAGCAAAATAATCTCATTCAGCTGCCCGAGGGACTCACCTGTCCTTCATTCATTCCCTGAGCATTTTCCAACCCCTGCTATGCATTGGGCCCCTATTAATTCTGTGATAATAATCATCGTAGTAAATAAAAACAATTGCCTTCATAGTAATAACTTGGTGAAGTGAGGGATACGCAGAGGAAAAGGCTGTCTCTGATCCCACAAAGCTCTCACTGCTAGGGCCAAGCCAGCAATGAGTCTTATATTTCAAAAAATAGTTTATTTGAGAAATAAAGACAGGTGACCTAAATGCAGCTCATTTGCCACTTAAAATGTCACCTACCCCGCCCCAAAAAGGTCAAAGAGGAGTCACAATTGGAGAAGGAAGTGGGAAGGGGGAAAGTAAGTAGGGAGGGGTCAGCATTGGGAAGGGGTAAGGTGGGGATGGGAAGAATAGGGTTGGAGAGCGAGGAGGACTGGAGAGCCCTCTGGCCTCTCCAGGCTACAAGCCTGCACTTGCTGCCTTGCTCCATCTGTCCTAAAGCAAAGAAGCCTTCATTCATTCATTCATTAAGGATTTCGTGGACTCTTTCTGAATGTGAGATTTGCACTGGTGCACAAAAATGAGTATTCCCCATATCCTTGCCCTCAAAGAGCTCAAAGTCTCTGGGCTGGGGGAGGACTTTTTGTAAACAATTACGAACATTGGGATAAGAAATGGCAGAGAAGAAAAGCACGCAACCAGGACCCACCTGTGGCCTGTGGGATCTGGGAGCACTTCAGAGAGGAAGTGATTTGTGTTTAATTGTATTCATTTTCTCTTCTTTTCTTTTCTTCTCTTCTCTTTTCCTTTTTCCTTTTTTCCCAGATAGAGTCTTACTTTGTCTCCCTGGGTAGAGTGCAGGGATGTCATCATAGCTCATAGCAACCTCAAACTCTTAGGCTCAAGTGATCCTCTTGCCTCAGCCTCCTGAGTAGCTGGGATTATAGCCATGTGCCACTACACCCAGCTATTTTTTTTCTTATTATTTTTAGTAGCGATGGGTCTCCCTTTTGCTTAGGCTGCTCTTGAACTCCTGATCTCAAGCAAGCTACCACCTCGGCCTCCCAGAGTGTTAGTGTCTATAGGCATGAGCCACCACACCCGGCCACTACATTCATTTTCCCATATGAATTAGTAATACATTCACAAGTTCAAAATCTTAAAGGCACAAAAGGATGTATGCCTGGTGATGGTCACAGAACTCTGGGAATGTACTAAAAATCATTGAATTGCATACTTAAATGGGCAAATGATACTGTATGTGACTTATATCTCAATAAAGTTGTATTTTAAGAAGAGTTTGTGTCTCCATCCCACCTTTGGCCCTGGTCCCTGAAGTCAAGCCATATTGTGAGTTTCTTGGGTTATCTTTTTTGTTGGGGTGGGGTAGGTGACATTTTAAGTGGCAAATGAGCTGCATTTAGACAAGTAGTCCACTGGGCAGCGGGGTGTTCCTGGTAGAGATATGACCATGAAAGCTTACAGTTCTGGGAGTGCCCCACTAGCTGGTCCTGGAGAAGGAGGTGGCAGAATGGCAAGGGATAAATGGGGTCCAGTGAGCAAAGCTATGGATACCACAGGTGGTGGCAATACCATCTCCCTGGTATTGCCAGACCCATGGGTCCATCTGCCTGTCACCCAAGCCAATCAACAGAGAAGCAGATGAGAGATCAACGTTTTCATTTTTATCTACAGAAAAGCCAGCAATTCCAGAAAACAGCAAGGATACCTCCTCCAAGAACTGCTCTGCCCTCCTCTTTCCCTTTGCTACTTTTATTCTCACAGTAAAAGTAAAACATCAGGGGGAGATGCCTGTGGCTCAAAATGGTAGGGCGCTGGAGGTGGTGGGTTCAAACTCAGCCCTGACCAAAAACTGCAAAAAAAAAAAAAAAAAAAAAAAAGTAAACATCAGGGATGTTATTACTCATCATAGTACACATTAAATAGATTCCTTCCTCCTCATAGGTTACAATGTTACACAGTATCTTCCTATCTAAAGTGGTTATATTTTCAAAGCATTTTTATTTTAGACAAAATTTATGGTTAGTCAACACTTCACTGGGTGCACAGAGGTCCCTGGGTCCTTGACCAGAAGTACCATGGAGTCCAGTTGTCTTGACAGTAGGCCTTGAAGTGAATTAACAGTCCCCAGATGTTGGCACACAGGCTCATCCGCCTTGTTAGGACCTGACTGGCCGTGCCTGGCGTGAAATGACCGTTGAGGTTAACAGCAGCTGCTAACACTGCTACATGTCTTTTGTGTTCCTTAACCTTCTATCTGTGAGTCAGAAGACAATGGGAACTCTCCCTTTGTTGAGGACCCTCAGGGAACATGATGCCTCAGTTTCTCTCTCATTTTTCCCCATTGAGAAGGAGAAACTAGTACAGGAGAGCTGACTCTGGGCCCAGGGAT